GAAAGGACTTGTATCGTAGAAGAATTAACAAACAAACATACAGAGACGTAAAAGAGAATTCCTCTGTGGTTCCCCGAAGGCTTGGGCCACCTTCAGAAAATGGTAATTTTTTTTTTGTTCTGATATATTTCAGTAAACAAACAAACAAAAAAAAAAGAGTTAAAAGGCCTTCAGTAACTTGGAGATCTAACTAAAGTTTGTTTTTAATTTTTGATTTCACAATACTGTTATCATTATTCCAAAAAAATAAATGATAAACTTTTACTTTTGGCCTAATTTACTGAGTTTACTTTCTCTGTAGTGTACGCCTAATTGTGAATAATAACTTGACAATGTGTGGTTTTAATTTGTACTAAAGTTCAGTCAGTGGCAGAGGATACTGACTCAGTGACTATGAGATTAAGAAAATTATCCGAAAAAGTAATATTTATTAACCAACATCCTATTCAACCTACTGGTGTTATTTTTAATGTTATGAAGTGTGATGAACATCGATGATCGAGTATATAAAAGGCCCCCTAAACAAGCCTGGGGTGTACAAATAAAAAGTCCTTCTCACTGTATATAAAGATAATTAGTAATATTTTACAAATGCAAGTTTAACATGTAGGCCTAGATTAGGCCTATATAGGCGGTATGATAATAAACTGGCCCCCAGGGGCTAAACCTATGTATAGCATATGATAGAAACAGACTATAGTCCTGAACATAATTTTCAATGATAAATTATTTATTTATAATATAATAAATAACAGAGTTACACTTGATCAAAAGAAGAAAATGTGCAGATAATATTGTAAATAATAATGTTGAAAGAGGTTATGACATTAAAATGTATATTTTAGTGAATTTTCGTTGTAAAATAGTACAAGACTTTAATACGTAAACTTAATAATGACATGCCTAGATAAAGCTATATTCAAGGGCCTGGATTAGGTCTATATAGCCTGAGCCCAGGGCCTATAAATGTATATAGAGCATATGATAAGAGTCAGCATAGTCATAGAGGTTCGAGGGTGAACACTGAAAGGTAAAAAGTTTATATTATATATAAAGTTTTGAAAGCCTATATTAAATTGAAAAGTTTAATTTAAAAACATTATTTTCACAGCCTACATACAAAATGAGTTGATAATATAATAATAGGCCTGTACAGTAAATAAAGTCTATTGGTGTATAGTCTTAACTGAACATTGATTCAAATCCCATATCACAAGGCATCTGTAGTCTTCTAAAGTAAGGTGGCCGAAACTGTTGCTGAATACCAGCAATCATTTGTTCTATTATAGACCTAAGTATAGACTAATACTATACATTATTTTTAGTTACTGTGCTTGCCACGTGATGAATTGGAATAAACAGAAATCTTGACAAATTGTGTTACCTTCTAGAAAGTAGAGTGATAATCTTTAAGTTTTACACAGAACATAACATTTGTCAATACTTAATTGATTCTTGGTGAAAATAACATTTATTAGTTTTATTTTGTTGTATCCCTCATGTTTTAAAGCTAGATGGAAATTATTGTATTTTATAATAATTTAGCACATTGAAAAAATATTAAATAAACCCAAAATCTCAAAAGCTTTATAGTATGATGATATCACCTTTTCTTGATACTGCTACTATTCTCTACTAAAGAAACTATTTTAAACAAATTATATTTATTACACATCCAAAATCTAATTATATACAGTTATTTATTAATCATTATTATGCTTTCTCCTATTTACCTTTTGTTAAATCCCACTCATTCATATATTTTAACTTTAACCTGCTGATACAATAGCCTTTTTAACTCAATCAGTTAGACAGCCAAATCTAATTTTTTAGCTTACTTCGATTTATAAAGTGTTTTTGTTTATTTTCATACCTAATATTGTCTTTTTCATTTTATCTGCAACATCTGTCCTTCTGCATACTAGGTAGGTCTGCAAAAATCTTATTTTTGCAATGATCGTGCAGGTACCTGCATGTTTGATTCTTCCTTGAATTACCACATTGTAACTGGAATTCCTATTATATATCCTGACTTTAACTATCATTTAAATACAAAAAATATGTAACTGGAAAATGATAAAGAGTCAGAGATGCTTAATTCTTACATTATTGCTTACTGAAACAAGAACTTATTGAGTCTGAATAGAATGATGGATAATACTGACTTTACTTTTCTAGGTTAGGATCTAAACCATGAGCAAGTTTTATCCGGTGATGAGTAAGTAAATATGGACTTTTATGCATTTCATCACTATATTAATGATAATGTTGCTTAAACAATAATATCCTATCTCAGATTTTTGGGAAAATGAAAACATTAATCATAATATTAATACTCTTTAACCTTTGTTCTACTTGTCATATAAATGTAAATAGTTATTACTTAGAAATGTTGTATGGAGCTGCTCTGCTTGTATAGTGTACCTTTTAAGCATACTTTATTTTCATTAGTATTTGTGATTAGATAAATCCTTTTGAAATAAGTTGGAAATTATGGTACAGGTACTAGACATATTTTTTCACATTTATTTACATCTATATTAATTTCTTTAAATGCACATACTGTATCAGAGTTGTATCATTTTAGTAGAATGTGATCAATCAAACCTTTTCTATCTTTTAAAAACTTCAGATGTATTTTACTAAAGCAATTATTTATTGAACAATTACAGATTGTACTTTATTTTATTACTTGGTTCCATATATGTTAATTTTTATCATACTGGCCATAACAAAATTTAAATGTGACCTGCTGTTCCTTTTTTTTAATTTATTTATTTTTAAACCCCCTCTCATCTTATGTGCTATTTTCAGTTTCAAATCATATTAATTCTGAAGTTCTGAACTACATATTTTTGATCTATATGTACTGCATGTTAGTTCCCATTTTGTGAAAACATTCATCAGTCTTGCTTTCATGTCATTCTTAAAATCCACTTTTCAAGAAATTACTTACTGTTGCATAGTAATAATCATAAAATAAACTAAAAAAATTAAAATGTTAAATGGAAATATAAAAATAAGCATATAAATTTGTGTGTTTTTATTGGTTAACTCCAAAAGCTGCTTACTGCCCCTTAGAACTTATACATTTTCAAAACATACATGTGTGTTTGTCTTTCATGATTAAGTTATAACACTTTTATTAGATAATGAATACCTTTGATCCATTACAGCAATTGCACTACAGTATTTTTGAGAGTGAAGAAACTAATACGGCACATTTCTAAATAATATGAAAGTATCATGACTGTAACCTTCTTATAACATGTAAAATGAATATATCTTTATTTAGGTATATTCAGGTAAGTGTTTTTAAATCTTTAGTACAGGTTGAGTTATGAATTCCAAATTTCAAATCCCTCTTACTACTACAGTGGTTAAGACTACTACTGCACTTCAACCTGCAGTTTCTCAGGCTTCATGGCTCCTCAAGTTTGGCTGAGGAGGTCTCAGTTTTAGTACATCATGTATTGGAGTCCATTATGCAACCTGTGGTGTCTCCTGATCCCAGACTAGATATTCTCTTTCCTGGTGAATCTGGACAAAAAGATGATGATTTTGATAGTCCTTTTCCACTTTCTTCCTTTGCTGTGAAATCCTGTATTCCCCCTGTGGATGCCCCAGACCAATTTCGGCCTTTCTGGATATGGTATGTCAGGTATGTTACCTCTTTTCTGTGTTTCTTGTGTTGTGTGACTTCTCTCCTTCCCTTTTACATTCTGATCCTTCCTCTGACTACCTGGTTTTCCCTCCTATTCCAAATATTGGGATCCATGCTGACCAGTTTGTGGCACAGTTACATTCTGGGGTCAGCATGCTTCATTTCCCTCACACCTCGGATAGTTATGCTTTGGTATAACAATGTTCAGATCTCCCATTTCTTGACTCTTAAACCTTAGAGTCTTTGGTGTAGGTGTAGAGTTCTGAATGATACCTCTATGAGATTTAGCCAAGCCCAATTTTCCCACCTCTATTTGTCCCTCTCCACCCTCCTGAGATACCTCTCCTCCATCCATCTTCTGTCCGAGGCTATCCACAGCTCCCCTGAGGGGGTTGTCAGAGGATAATTGTTTCCTTATGTATTCAGCGTTGGCACGCTTGTCTTCCTCTGCCCTTTCCCTTCAAAGATGGTTCCTCCTTGTTGTCGGGATCTCCTGGGTAGTGATGCACTTTTATCTAATGTGTGTGCCTACCCATGACTTACCTACAGGTATGGCTCCATTTTATGTAGAACAGTTTTAGAGATCTTCTTGACTCTGGAGTCCAGGGTGGAGGCTGCTCGTCAACATTTCTTCTTTATGTCCTTGGTTTCTCTCTCTATCACAACCTTCACCTGCTCCTGTTCCCTTTTACTGCCCTCCTCCTTCTGCACCTCTGCTTGTCTCCTACGGCCAATAGTACTGGTGACTATCCCATAGGTTCTGGCAAGGTTGGAGCACGGTTGGCCTAGTTTGTGCATCTATGGAATAATTTCACCTTGGATCCTTCAGATGTTGTCAGCAGGTCTTTCCCTTCGATTTCTCAACCTCCCACCCTTATCCTCACATCCCATCCCTTTCTTCCTTCTTCAGGATCCTATTTCTTGTCAGCATCTCTCTAAAGCAGTTCAGAGTTTTTCTCTCAAGGATGCTGTAGAAAATGTCAGTCATACTTCTCTAGGGTTCTATTCCAGGTAGTTTGTCTTTCCCAAGAACTCTGGGGACTAGCATCCTATTATAGATATTTCCTGACTTATCTGTTTTCTTGACCTTCCTCATTTTACCATGGAGTCCTCCCTCACCCTTCATTAGGCATTAACTCTGGGTCTTTGGATGATGAAGGTGGATGTCATGAATGTGTACCTTCACATTCATATTTCCCCCAACATCCAGACATTACCTATGTCTTTTCTGTCCACAAGGTTTGAGTTTATTAATTTCATGCTTTGCTGTTTGGTCTGGCATCCACACCTCACATATTCTGTCGGGTAGTCAGGGCCTTTGCTTGACTTATTCATTCTCATAGTCTGCAGTTGTACCATTACATGGACGACTGGCTGCTATTAGCTCAATCCCATCAGACATCTCACAACAAAACCCATTTGCTTCTTTGAGAGGAGGCTCATGTGGGTTGGCTTGTCAAGTTGGAGAAATCCTTTCTTCTTCCAACCCAATACCTTATCTACTTGGGGCTGTTTTTCAACTCCCATTTCAGTCAGGCCCAGCCTTCTCCACTTTGCAGGTGATTGAGCTATTAGTTCTCAAGGCTCAATGCTATCCTTCTGTTACTGTATGCAAGATTCTTTCTCTTTTGGGGACTAGGGCTTCCATGGAAGCTGTCATTTCCTTAGGTTATGCTTACGTGTGCACCCCTTAGTGGGTGTTGCATGATCAATGGAATCTTGCTTGGGGTCCCCTGGATTCTGTTCTCCTTCTTCCTCCCTCCCTGTATGTGGATTTCGCTTGATGGCTCAACAGAGACAACCCTATCCAGAGTTTCATCTTTTTATGGATGCTTCTCTGATGAGTTGGGGAGTGTATCTGGGTGCACAGGAAATTGCAGGTCATTGGTTTTCAATCGAGGTAGCTATTTTGGCCTAATTTATTTTGAATTTCCAAACCTGTGTATTCATCAGTATATGCTGTCTTTTACTCACTGCAGTGAGATTGTATTTATATAGGTTCTGAATAATAAGTAGTATTAACTCTTTTAAGGTATTTTTTGAATTATTCAGCAGACAAACTGTTTAAAATATTGTTTATAAATATAAAACCCAGTTGAATTATAGACTGGACTTCATATATATTTCTTATACTTTCTGTTGTTTATGATATAATAGTTGCAAACAGAAATGTAGAACTCTCTGTTCGAGATAGCATGAACATGTATATATTTATCAGTAATTTATTTTTCAATATTGTACAATAATGTTCATAGAAGAAAAAAATGATGTCATCTACTGGCTAAATAAAATGATCTAACTAAATAAGAAATGACAGAATACAGTAAATTAAATTCAAGAGTGTGACAAGAGTATTTGTGATAACTAACCGATAATTCAAAAAGTTAACTAAAATAGTGTAGTCCGGCTTTTGTACTAGGGGACATACAGTACAAGTTATTTAAAGAAATGTCAAAAGTTTTCATTACAATTAACAGAACAAAGCCTAATCTCTTCAATTAATCACAGTATTTTGTGAATACATAAGCAAAAATATTTTTAATTTTTTAAAGAAAATAAAATTAATTTCCTTTATCATTATTTTAACAGTGAATGATACATTTTTGTACACAAATTAAAGATGATACAATCAACTAAAATATCTTTGCACAAAGTCATTCTATTTTGAGGCTATCAGCACGGTTTTTTAAATATGTGGAACACACTGTGTCCCATATTGTTAAGTTAAAATAACTGTTACTTTCTTGTAATTAACATGACTAAACAATTGTAGATTTTACCTCATCCTAAACACTAGAAACATTATTATATATGACAGTTTTCTGCACTGTTGATGAGGGTTACTATCACATAACTAAGGGGATGATGAGAGTATATTTTTTATTTCTTAAAATTATAATATGTAACCTGGTTAAATTTCATAGATTCTTTTATATAGAGATGTTTTTAAGTGGAAGAAAACTTTGTATATTTCAGATTGTACACAGTATATAAATCTTTATTAATTTGCTATATACAGTTAATCATTGCAAAAAATAGTTACATTACATATATCTGACTGCCAAATGTATAAAAGTAATGAAAATAGAACACCATAGTAAAAATATTAAAACAGTATTATAACTTTCTCAAATTATTAATTGAATTATCATATCATGTTTAATTTCACATGACAAACTATAAGATGACTTGTTTTTATACTTACCAGATTATCCACAGGGTGTTTCCACCAGTGAGTCCAATTTTACAGGGTTTCATACTCCAAAATGGGAGTTCTGTAGTTATGAGAAGTCAAACTCTATCTTCTGGTCCATTTTTTATGCAATCCTAATTTTTTGGCTTTTGGCAGGTAAGTTTACTTTGAATATCATCATGACATGGTTGGACATTGTGTTTCCATTATTTTATTAATGGTGACACATTTCATGGAGGTTACTTGTGAGTTAATTATGAACATCTAAGCTCACAGAAGCTTCAAACTATGTCCAGTAACAACTTCACAGTGAACTACATGTTAATGATAAAATACCTGAGCAGCTTTATAATTTAAAGAATTACTGAAGTTTTAGTTTCAACACTGAAATTTAAGAATAAGCAGATGGTCAGTATTTATGTTAACTCAAGGATATCTCTGACTGTAAATATTAAAACAATAAGCAACTTTACTTCAAATTCTTAACATAATATAAAGCTAAGTAAATCAGTAAAAATATGATTCCTGTCATGCTGATATTAGATGAAATAGGGCTTGGTTCCTCCAACACTCAGCATATATTTTCTTTATCAAGATATATATTTTAAAATTATAATGTGGTAAATTTCATATATTTCTTTATAGAAAGATGATTCACCAAATATATTTTTAAGTAGAAGAAAACTGTTTGTATATTTCAGATTGTGCATAGTGATCAAAGCTTTATTAATATGTTAAATGTGGATAATATTTGCAAAAATGGTTGCATTACATGCATCTTATTGTCACTTTTATAAGGTTGGATCCTTAACATTCTGGCTGCCAAGGCAAAATCAAGGGAGAGATTCCTGTACCCATTTACTGCATCCAGTTCACATGATAGTTTTACAAATAATCAAACCATATACATATGAATTTTGGTTGACTTGTTTGGAAATATACACTAATAAAAATTATGAAATCAATCGCTTTGAATAAAGAGTAGCCTAATGCAACTTGTAATTACAATAAAAATTGCTAAATTAGTTAGATTAAGTTTAATCACTGGTAAACTTTTTATTAACTAATTAATTTTTTATACTACTGGTTTACACACCTTATTAATATATAGATAACATGGTCAAGTTATGTAGTTTTTGCCAATTTTAGATAATAATAAGTTTGAGATATATTTCACTAAGTATCAGCTAAAGCACATCAAGCATTGTGTGGTTAATATTTATTCAAACAAGTCCACTTAGAGCACTCATGTTCCGTAAATCTCACCCTCAATCTTATATTATGTATTTGAAATAATAAACACAATGTTTGAGTTTTCTGGAGTTTAAATTTAAGACTTGGTAAATCCACACTATAATATATGCTAACTCAGCTCTAGTTGGGATGTGTCAGTCAAGGTGTATTTGTTGTTTTATGGGAAGGTTATATCCAATACTACCTTGAGTCTGAAGTTCCTTTATGCCTCTTACATGAAACATAGGTACATTTCGATTCTAGTGATACAGTTTTGTGATTGGCAGTTATAAAAAAAGATGGATTGTTAGAACAGTTTTTGCACTTTCAGACAGCTCACGTTTTGACTGTTTAGATTGCTTCTTATTATATATATTTATTCCAAATTTCAGACTAATTATAATTGCACATAATTATCTTGAAGTTTTTACGTGTCCTAGGGCAATTCTTGTACTCCATTTTTTTCCAACACATACAGATTTTTCACAAAATGTCATAATACAGTATATAGAAGAAAGACCACAACATGTAGTTTTGAGACTAAAAGATGTAGATTTCACAAAAAATCAGGATGAATGAAGATGCATATTCATTTAACATCAAAGTTCTTCCCTTTTCTTTGGTTTCTTTGTATTTTTGTTAACAAACATAATAACAGAAAATGCTCATTGTGGTAAACAAAATAATAATTTGATCTAAGTAAGAGTTATCTTTTTCAAAATCTGCATAGCTTAATTATGGAAAATCTGTTATTAAAACCAAAACAACTTTTATGAAGTTTAAATTTGCAGGCCTGTGTTATTTAGGTGTAAATGTCAAAGTTTGAAATTTGAATATTTAGGAGGGTTAAATTACAAGTTCTCATAAAATCTGAAAAATAAGACTTTGTGTGTGAACTGAAAATAGTCTTTTTATATAGTGTAAAAAAAATATTGTAAATATTTTTCTTGAAGAGGGGCTTATTGTTAGATATACATGACTGTTCACTTTAAGTTTAATATGATAGTGTTATTTAGTTTATATTTTGTGAGCATTAAATTAATCTGTTTCTAGAAATGATAGTAATGGCAAGTTTGCTTATGTTACTGTTTATGAATCATTTGTTGTACAGTTCAGTTGTTGAGAATTGATGTCATGTTACACAAACCTTGTGTATTTTTTCTTGTTGCTTTAAGTGAGTATCATTACATTATAATGTTTTGTAGTTTGTAGAAAGTTCTTGGTCTCAGTTGGGCAATATATATATAGAGTGCAGAAAAATTAAGTTGTTGAAAGTGAAAGTAAAAGGGAAATTAGTCTCTGTGTGAATTTAGCCTTCACAGGCAATTTTTAAAGTGAGTTTTACAATCTTGTATTGTGATAACAGAGATGGAGGAGAATAATTTTTCATGTCAAAGGGTGTTCTTCAGTAATTGAACCTGCCTGTATGGAGTTTGTTGAAAAGGAGACATTTATTTAAAGTTCTAGATACAACTGTGATAGCCAATAGTGTAACTAAATTTTGTACATACCTTTGACTTCTTTTGAATATGTTATTCTAAAACAAATGGATTGTGTACTGTCTGGTTATTGTTGAAATTTATCGCCAACAAAACACAGACACACAATAATAAAAAGTCGCAGCCCTATAAAACTTAACAAGGCACTAGTTACAATAAAAGTAGTGTTGCACTCTTTTTGGTGGAGAGTTGCTGCATGATCATTTGTATGATAGCATGTGGATGTCTCACATCGACACATGTGAGGGTAGGTGGAAATATCAAGGCTAGTGGTGAGGGAACATTTGTGTCTGTAGTGGGCAATATAAGTCTAGAAAAGCTATTTGTGATAAGAGGTAAGTATCTATCTGAAATACATTTTCAATGTAGGAAAATGTTAACTTCTGTTCATAGCATTGTTAATATTACAGCATTCTATTTTAATGGAAAATATAAATGACAACTCATCTTGTCCCATAAATAAGTAAAACAAGAGAAACTTAGTAGTTCTCTTGACCTATGTTCTATACTAAGAATATACCCTGAAATATTGAAAAGTTGAAAAATTGTCAAGAAAATAAGGAGGTAGAAAATGCATCATAAGCTCATGTATCAGAATATTTTTTTGTTGTATCTCTTATTACTGCAATACGGTTTTTACCTGTAAGATAATCAATTCATCTGACTATGTCACATATAGCTTTTTGTATCCCTTACTTCTGCTTACTAAGGGCTGTAGAGATGATTCAGAGTCAATAGATGAAACTGTACAATTAGAAATCATGCAGTCTTGTTGAAAACATGGTTATCATAATATTCATTGAAGCATGACTGTAACTTGCATTTTGCACTACCAATGTATAACACGTACGACTAGACAGACACCTGTAACTGTAGCTAGCTAATGAACACTTTGGTTTTTATTCCATCTCTAAACTTGCTCAAAGTTCTTACATGTAAATACTGCAAAAAAATTACACAAAGTGAAACTTACAAAAAACAATAAACAAGTAGTTTTTGACAGTTTACTGATATGAGGCAAAGAAATGGCAACATTTTTGCATTCTGCAGTTTGTAGCAAGGAGGAATTAAAAAGCTATTCTCGACAAGCATCCAAATCCTTCTCTCAACAAAACAAAACATTTAAAGGAACTCCTTTAGCTATTGGGCTGTGCTCTAAAATTTTCTTGGATAAAGAGCTCATGTTTTTTTTTAGTTGACAAACCAACTAATCTTATATTAACATTGCCTTTCAGGTTTCATTTACTGAATTAATCATGGTTGAGGACTTAGATGAGGTGTTTTAGGTTTTGTTTCAGTTGATTTTTAGGCAGAGTAGGTTTGAGAACTTTAATGGAATGTAACTACCTGTTGAAAGAAGAAGGCCTTAGTATAAAAGCTAAAACTTCTCTCCTTTTCTTTCAACAGGTAGTTCCTCTCCATTGAAGTTCTCCAACCTGCTTTAGGCTTTGTTTATTCCAAGTAATATAGGATGCTTCATACTTCAGGGATTTAATCAATATGAGCAATATTTTGGCAGCTTTAGTCACACAATCACACAGCCTCCTAAATTTGTTATACATAAAATGCTGAATTCAGATGTTGTAGGTTTGATGTATGCCATTCTTTCTTTTCCTCACTGAAGTTACACATTTTGGTGAAGAAAAGAAAAATTCATTAATAAATTTAGATGTTATTTTTGTAGGTTGTAGCTTTTGATGGATGTCATTCATGGATTCTTTCTTTTCTTTACTTAAAATACACATTTTGGTGAAGAAAAGAAAAATGCACTAATGAGTTTGAATGTTATCGGTAACATTTCCCTGCCTGAATTGTTATTTATAGTAAATATTTTGTATTTTCAATTATATTCACTCGTTTTCTTACAAAGAGGGAGAGAATTAAAAACATGGCCTTTTGGTTTATTCCCAGCATAAATTGAATTTTCCATGGTTGAAAAAAAGTTCCACTCAAATTAGTATTTCAAATTGATAATTTTGAGTATTGAAAACAGTTAGCAAATCCTGATTGATTTTTAGCTAATTAAATTAATTATAATTCATCAACAGTTACGGTTTTGATGCATGCATTTTCACTATTTGGAAGAGAGAATTATATAATCCATTAATCAACATATGTGATAAACAACACATTTGTAAATAAATATTCTTGTGTCTGTAAGAAGTTACACTGAAAAATGTTAATTTTTGGATAGGTCTGTATATTGTTTGCCAAGAGTTCTTTACTTTGCCAATGATGTTGGTTTCACAAAAACTGAAATCATCTACAGCTGTGACATATATGGCAGTTTTGACCATTGCCATGTCAGCTCCAGTGTTTGCTATAACTGTATCTTCAGTGTGTATGGATAGTCAACTAGGAATTGGAGCGATTTTGGGGTATGTGTTATTATCTATATTTCTAATTTTAATTGAATCAAATATTACACTACAAAAATAAGACTTCCAAAGTATGAACCATATTTTATTTTAAATGAAAACTTCTATTACTGATTATACATATATATATATATGTGTGTGTGTGTGTGTGTATGTGTATGGCATAACTTAATAAATACTTGATTTTTTGTTTTCCTTTTAGCACTGCGATATACAAAAAGTTGGTAATTATTCCCTTAGTTGGTGCAGTTGCTTCCAAGGTCAGCTCATTAGTATTTCATTATAAAACAATTTATGTTGTACTGTTTTCAGAAAAGTAATAAATATTGAAAGGGAAGAAACTGTTGGCAGCATTCATAAAATATAGATATCACATTTTAAAGAAATAACAATAAGGTTAGCAAAACGAAAGGGAATTTGTAAGCTTTGGGTTTCATAATTTTTATAATTTACTAAGGAAAGGTTGTAAAAGTTTGTTGTTGTTTTATTGTCAGTGCTTCAATAAAAACTAAGAAAATATGAAATACTAACTAGAAATTGAGTATCAATTCATTTAATTGAGAAACAGAGATTATGAAAATAATTTATTTTTTATAAGAGATTAATGTATTAAATAAATATATGATATTAAAATTCACCCTTTTAATATAATCTTTGAAAACTGGAGAACATATGAAACTGTCAGTTTGGAAATTAATTTCTATTCAAGCACTGAGAAATGAAATTGAGATATAAAGCTATAAAGTAAGATATATTTTTATCTATTTTGGGAGGTCATTGAAAAATAGTATAAAGAAATGAAGTAGGTTCAAAACTATATGAAAAGTTTTCAAAAGCCAAGAGTGTTAATATTTTAACTATCTTTCTAGACTTTAGTGCTTGACTGGCGACCATTTGTAATTGATGGGATATTTTATGCTTCATGTGTCCTTTTTGTCAACTTTATTCTCTGGAATGGATATCTTTGGTGGGTGGAAGGTTTTATGTTATTCTTGTGGTACTTCTTGTATTTCTTCTTGATTCTAACTTATGAGGAGCTAATGAGCCTGATGTCTTTCTGTGGAAGGTAAGAGTTTACTGATCACCTTAATAATAGTGGCTAGTTAGTTGATGAATTTATGTGTAATGCATTGAAAATTATAGCACCATGCATAAGCATTGTTAGATTATTATTGTATGACAGTCTCGCACAGTTCTCCAAGTAAGTGCAAATTAAGCGATATTATAGCATCTAAAGTTTAGTTTTAGATCCCTGTTTTTACTGTGACATTTGTGTTTATGTTTTATCAAATAAAAACCAAAACAGCCTATAAAGGTCAAATAAACACACTATTCATCAAGCTCAACAAATAAGAATGACCAGTGAAATAGGAACATTATTTTGTTTTGCTGGGCTGCTAAAAATCGAGTATCCATATGTAAAACACCTAATTTGTGGTAAGAAAGGTTTCTAAAAGTTATAAAAGCTAAAATCATTCCTCTTTCAGAATTAATTTATTTTCTAAATTGGTAAATGTATGCACCCATAAGATCTTGTGTCACTCCATTATGGCTTATATGCACACCAATCGTTCAAGCAGTTGTTAATATTAGAAAAGGGCTGCACATGTGCTCATCACCACTCAGTCTCAAATAATCAACATGAACTTGTTTGAGTATGTGGTTTCATGGAAAACATGAAAAACTTGCATTGCCAAGAGCATAGGCAAGTCCCATAAGCTAAGCTATCAACATAGGAGGAAACAAAAGTTTGTAGGATTATGGAGGAAAACATTCAACTAGCCTAATTTTAATTAGAAACTCATATCAGCAGTTTATGTTAAATAAGAGACATATTTTTAACTTTGAATATTTTTTTACTTTTTTGAGAAATTGATTTTAACTTAGTTTGAAATAATTTATTGAAATAATTTTTAATATCTTTGCATTTCCAATATGGGACATTACCTCTTCTCACATAAATAGCTATTCTCATTCAGTACTGCCTTCTATATGCAAAAAACAAAATATGCATGCCACAAGCCTTCCATCTCCCATCCATTGGAATTGACTGACTCCAATGCGTCTCTCATGAAAATCATCATGCGTCCACTCTCCACCCAATAAGAGTGCGACATACTTTCATGACGCATGTGACTCCCTCTATTCAATTCTACCAAACTATCATTTCTTGTGTGGTAGTACTTGTGTTCAGACATTTTTTCTTTAGGTGCTCTTTGTATGAATCATGATTTGAATAGCTTAATTACCGAAGTGGGATTTCTTAATTATATTTTTCTTTCTTTATTTCCCAGTTTGTATTTTTTTTCTCACACTTGCATATTTTACATCAAACTCTTTTGTGTGATTTACATATTTGTGCAATGAATTCTGAGGTCCGTGTTCACACTTTGGGTGTTATACCTCTAGCACTACTTTCACAGGCTGCAGGTGAGGGAGACCCATCATTGGATTTCTCTGGAATTATCGATTATGAGATTGATTGTTATATGGGTCAACCTTTTTCTCCTGAACTTGCCCCACCAATCATTCTGAACAAGCCAAATCTGTTTGGGCTGATGAAGATTTGATAGCCTTTTTTACATCACCAAATTTTGCTGTGTTTTTCCCTACCCTTCCTGCAGAATCAGCTAGTCCTAAATATGGCGTTTTTCAACATGGTTTCTCAGGAATGTTTTATCTAATTTCCCATTTTCCTATGATTTTTTAATTAGTTAGTTAGTTAGCTCATTTGTCGTTTTTGGCTCTCGCTTTACACACGTGGTTTTACTGTAGTTGGGATTTTGTGGGTAGCAATGCAACCTTGTCCCAGGTATGTTTGCCACGTCTTTCTTTTTGGGATTTCTGTATTTTTTCTTTGGTGATATGTTTTCGATGTTGTATATGAGACTTTGGAATCTTATGTGTAATCTGTGCATCAATACTTGACCTTTTTCTCTTTGATTGCATGTTTATTGCAGTTGGAGACATGACATGCCCCTATTCTTTTCCCATCCTGGCCCTTATCTACCTGTCCTTGTTCCCCTTCCAGAGGTTTCTCATCTCTTTGTTTTATTCATCGTTGATTAGCATGTTGCCAACAGTACCAGAGACTAACGAGAGGGTTCTGGTCCAGTGGAAGCTTGACTATATTATATTGTTATCCTTTGATGATCTTTCACTACAGTTCCATGGGTTCTTTGGGTTTTATCAGAGGGACTTGTTCTACTATTTCTTTCTCCACCTCCTTTGTCTATGGTACCATTTTCCTTCCCCATGACTTGGGATCCTGTCCCCAGCATGTGTCTGTCTGAGGTGGTACAAGATTTTACAGACCATTGCACCAATTCATCATCTTTCTACAGGCTGTTTGTTGTTCTCCCACCATACCAGAGACTGGTGTCCTGTACTAGGTTTATCCTACCTCATTCTAATTTTAGATCTGCCCTGTTTTACCTTGCAGTCGTTTCTCACCTTCAGGTGGGCTTTCTCTCCAGGTTTATCGATGATAAAGAGGAATGTCACGAATGCTTATTTGCATATCCCAATATTTCATCACTCGCAACCCTCTCTTCGGTTTATTTTCTACGAGGTGGTTTCTCTGTTTTGTGCACTGCCCTTTGGACTTACTTTGGCCCTGTATATTTTGTTGAGCATTCAGAGCATTTGTTTGTCACATGTATGCTCTCGAGTTGAGCTTTCCTCTTTCTTTGGTCGACTGGCTACTGTTTGCTTGTTCTGAACAGGAGTCCACTTGTTACCCTTATCAGCTGCTCCTGGAGGCAACTATAATGGGCTGTTAATCAAGTTGAAGAAGACCTTACTGCAAACTATCCAATATCTTGTTCATTTGGGTGTTTTTTTTTCCACATACGTATCAGTTGGGCCTGCCCTTCTCCTTTTTGATCTCATTCAATGGATTTTCAGTTCGATCATGGCTCACAAAGTTCTATTACTTTTGAGGATGTGATGTTCCATGGTAGTCCTTATCCCCTTAGGTCAGGTTCATATATGGGCTCCTTTGTGGGCTTTCACCACCAGTGGAATTTTGCATAAATCCTCTGTTGGCTCTTATTACCCTTCCTCCTACCCTTGTTGTCGATCGCAGTTGGTGGTTAGACATAACTCACCCATTGGCAGGTGTCTCAATTCATCCTTCTCATCTGGTTTTCCACATTTCATGGATGCATCCCTTCAGGGATGGGTAGTGTGTGTTGATCAACTGGAAGATTCAGGGTTTTTGGTCTGTGGCCAAGAGGTCTTATCCAATCAATGTTCTGGAGCTTCTTGCTGTAGGTCGTGTTTTGGTTCATTTTCTCAATCTGGCCAGAAATTGTCTGGTAACGTTCCATTCCGATTTTTCTTTTGTAGTTGCTTATCTAAGTCACCAGAGCAGCACCCATTCTCCATCCCTCTGTATACATGCATTGGATCTTCTTTTTGGGCCCCCATTCTTGATATTCCTATCATTGCGTGTCATGTTCCAGGTGTTTTTGCTCTTGTTGTGGATTAGATTCCTGTCCAGACAACATTTATCCAATGGAATGGTCTCTAATCATTTTGTTTTCCAGTGGCTTTGACTTCAGTGGGGTACTCCTCACATTGAGGCTTTGGCTATGTCCCTTAACCACAAATTGCCTTGGTTTTAGTCTCTGGTTCCTTGTCTTCTTGCTCTGGCTATCGATGTTTTCAACCCGGATTGGACCTACTCATTTTTCTATCCTCCCATGCTGCTTCTTCTCTGGGTGATTTTGTTCATCCTTGACACTCCATTCTCAGACTTTCTGATAGCTCTTTCCTGGCTATCTCAACTGTGGTTTCCGTGGCTTCTCCAGCTCCAACTTCCTCCTCCATTACCTTTTCCTTTATCTCTGTCCATTCTTCGCCACCCTTAGTCACTGGTGCTTCATCCACACCTTCCTGTCCTCCGTCTTCACACCTGGTTTTCCCCTGGTCATTGGCAAAGTGATCTGACTTCTCCTGATGGTCAGCCTCTTTTCTGGCTTGTTTCATTTGCTCTTCCTACATGGAAGTTTTTCAATAGAAATGGACTTTTTCCATCATTGGTTTCTGGGTCCAGGGTTCTCCTCTGATCAACTCACTGTTCTTCCTTGTGTGAATTTCCTCACTTGACTTTTGGATTGGGGGTCTTCTGTCTTCTCCATCTCGGAGTTTCGGGGGGGGGGGGTCCTGTCCTGATCCCACATGTATTTACTTTTCCTACACTTTACCTGTGTATCTGTTCATTCTGGATTTGTTGTCTGCCATAGTGGGCTTCCAGATGGGGGATATTAATGTGGTCCTGCACTGCCTCACTTTGCCCTTTTTTGAACCACTCTCCCAGTGCTCTTTGTTTCACCTTCTCTTATGTCTTCCTTTTTCCATTTGCCTATGGACATCGATGGTTTGTTATTTGCCATTGATGTTTCACATTTTTGTTATCCTTCTACATGTGTTCTCCTTTTTCCTGATCGATTTTCCTCTCTAACAATTCGACTTCTATGTCCTGTACGTGCTCTTCTCTGTTATATTTCACACCTTTATCCTGTTCTGATCTGGATAGAGTTCTATGTCATGTACATGCTCTTCTCTATTATATTGCCTGCATGGCTTCTTTCTGTGGCATCCGTTCCCACCACTCTCTTCCTTGGCAACCTCCTCTGTTCATGTTCTTCCTCCTTCGGCAATTGGGTTTGGTTCTTCATTTGATTGGCTTCTTCTTCTTTATCATCTTCCTCCCATACTTTGTTCCAAGTGTCTTCTCACACCCTCATCCTACCTCCATGTGGATGTTGATTCCCAGTGGCCAGGTTTTGGACTTACAGTAGAACCAATCAACATAAGTCCTCACATATGTATTACAGATGTCTATGTTCCTCCTTCATTTATACACCATCAGTGTTGTGGGTCACAGGGAAGGTAATTGTGGATTGTTATGGTTCTCTTCCTTCCACCATCCCTCGATGTTTGTTATTCCAGAGGATGTTAATGCGCTTGGTGTGGTTCTGGTCAATTTAACTTTTGACGGAGATGGTTTACATTATGTAGTCATCTTTTTGATACCTGATGTCGGGTTCCTGGATCGAT